GTTTTATGGGGACATTCCATAGGCGTAATGGTTTTTATACTGTACAAACTGTATGTGCTATTGCCCTACACCAACCCTACCCCTAAACCTACCCCTTACAGGAAACTTTGTGCATTTTTACTTTCTCAAAAAAACTCATTCTGTATGATTTATAAGCTTGTTTCCTCATGAGGACCTCAAAAATGTCCCCACAAGGTCAAAATTTACTAGTATTACTATCCTTGTGGGGACATTTGGTCCCCATAATGTGATAAATACCAGGTACACACACACACACACACACACACACACACACACACACACACACACACACACACACACACACACACACACACACACACACACACACACACACACACACACACACACACACACACACACACACACACACACACACACACACACACATATATAGTTCAGTTCTTCTTTTAACTTGTAAAATAAAATAATTTACTGTATTTTTGATAAAACAAACACAGGCTTGGTGTGCATAAGAAAAAACAAATGTGGTTTGGATCAGATTTGAAGAAATATTTTGCTGTTCAAACTACAACCAGCTAAACTGATTTGAGCCAGATACCCCAAAATAAAAAAAAAAAAAAACATTTTTGGTGTCTGTCTGAAGAAAGCTAAAGCCACACTCACACGAAACACAAACTCCAGCGGACTCCCCACATCACTGGTGCTGTTCATAGCAGATTCACCAATCACACTGCCACTGAACAACGTGTCAATCACTGATTTTTCTCTGCACACGACAGAAAGAGAATGATAAACTATTAACTATGAATTGTCATTGTCATTATTAACAGAGTATTAATAATATGTTTGATGCAATTAAGTGAATTTTTCTGTCTAACATGCACAGATGAATAATTTTTTTCTTGTAAATTTCCACATATTTTCGTAATTTGAAAAACATATCAAAGTACGTACAAGGAAAAGGTAGTGAGGACTGTGTTCTTCACGTTGAGGGTGACAGGAACAGGATACAGATCCTTCTGCTCACTGATACTGAAGACAAACACAAACACCATTCAGTCAGTCACAATAAAAGAAAAGGCCTGCAGAAATGACTTCAGGAAACACATTAGTTCAACACTGTGCACTGAGGGGAAACGTACACTGTATAAACAAGAAAGCATTTTAGTTAGTCCAGACTTACGTGGAGAGCTGAAGCTGAGATTCAATCTGCTCGGTGTAAAGCGTTATACCAGAAGTCTCAAAGATGATTATGAATGAGGCCTGTGGAGACGGAAATCAAGGTTGACAGCAAATTAGCAAAACATATCAGCTGTACAGTCTGATTAGCTGAGTTAATTCAGATGGCCCGTGGAAAATGAGCCATTGGAGATGCTTGTTTTAATTAACATACAAATCCGCAGAAAGGTCACACATTGGACAAGTTTTCAGTAAGAAAACAGACTGCTACCTTCTGATTGCTTTTAAATGGGTTTCCCAGATCGCAAATCACAGTTTCGTTTGCGCTGCACTCAATATCGAAACCAGGCTGTAATAAAGACAAACCAAGAAAGTTAAAAACGGCATTAAGAACACTGAAATGATCTAATTAATGAGTTACTAGGAAGAGTCTCTGATAAGACCTCTAATTCAGTTTTTGGTAAGCTGCCAATGTTTTATTTTACAACTGTATATTACAACATAAATATAACATTATATAATATAATATAGTATTGATTTGTTAAAACTATACAACTTTTTAAAGTGGATTTTTGAAAATGACCTTTCATGCAGTGTGTAACATAGCTCTAAGTGAATGAAAACATCCTGCAAAGTTGTAAATCTGAAAGTGCACAGTGTATAAAGTTATTGTCTCTCAAAAGAAAGAATCGACTGAATCATTGAAACGGGTCGTTTTTAAAACGAATCCCAAGCCTTTTCATGTTGACGTCAACATGAAACATTAGCATATTGCCCGCCCACTTGTTTTTTTCACGTTGGTCTGAATGAAAATGCAAATAGGGGCACTTTAAACAACCTTTGCATATTTCATTTTATTTGCTGCTCTCATTTCTTAGTAGGTTGCCATTACTTTATTTTGCAATAATGACTGCTATCTGTGCATTACACCATTAATATAATATAATATAATATAATATAATATAATATAATATAATATAATAGTTGACACTATAGTTGAGAAAGTCACGTGTTTGCCTTTCATAATATTTTGTAAGTTACCAATACATTTTGCAATAACAACTGACTAACCTGTACATTACACCATAAATATAATATAGTATAATATAATATAATACAATATAATGTAATATAATATCAAATACCTACAAATATACTATTTTACTTATGAAAATAATGCATTTAAAATTATATAGCAAAATTCAGTACAAAATAAACCCCAAATCCAAGAAAAAAAATGTACAGGAAATACGGGAGAATTAATCTCAAATGTTGCTCTTTTATAGCTCAACCAAGCACAATTGTTTATTTTTTGAGATATTACAGAGATCTTTGTGATTTTTCTTTTCTGTGGAGGTGAGATGAAGAGAGAGTGCCTCCGTGTGGCGTCACCTGAGGGCGCACTCCTGAGTATTTGAGTGAGGGGGGAATGGTGATGTTCAGCATGGCCTGATGGGCGTCCTCGGCCTGCCTGCCTGCATCCGGCGTGTTAGTAACTTCCACCATCATCACCAGCTTCTTAATGTTACTGTTGAACTCCATCGTTTGACTGTGAACAAACCAGCACATCCCAGTTTTTGAAGAAGACAGTAGCTTGTAAAATGAAATAAATTTTATTTTTATTGCAGGTGCATGATGTCTGTATCTCTGTAGCATTTTTTTTAATCACATAATATCACAAAATAATTAAAACTCAAATTAAAACTACTTATTTTTTTCCAATAAAAGTTTCCAATACTTTATTTTGCAATACTATATAATAAATATAATATAATATAATTAGTGCTGTCAAATGATTAATCGCGATTAATCGCATCCAAAATAAAAGTTTTTGTTTAAATAATATATGAGTGTACTTTTTATATTTATTATGTATATATAAATATACACACATACAGTATATATTTTGAAAATATGTACATTTACTTACATGTATATATTTATATTCATATAATTTATATTATATATAAATATATTTTATATACATAATAAATATACACAGTACACCCACATATACTATGTAAACAAAAACTTATTTTGGATGCAATTAATCGTTTGACAGCGCTAAATATAATATAATATAATATAATATAATATTGGGTAAGTTGCTAATAATTTATTTCTGAAAAATGACGTAAGTGTAAAGTAATACATAATAACAATATAATAGAAATTGTAATCATTTTATATATTTTTATGACATCTATAATATCTTTTTCAGGTTTTAGACTTAATTTATTAAAATTATTTTAACCAAATAAATTGTTATTACGTGGCCACTATATAGTAAACACCATACAATTACCAGTAATATTCCACTCTGATCATTGTTTTACATGGCACACATTACATTAATCATTAGATTCATGAATAAGCGTACTAAAATTAAATGTTAATAACTGAATTCACTCAAAAGACCTCTGAACTTAAATATAAATAAACGTTCATCTGTTTGTGTACACATTTTCTTTTGTCCATATTCACCAGTTGTCATACTCACCCAGGGAAGGGAATGTGATTCTCATCAGCAAATGTGGCCTTGAGCTGCAGGTTACTGCTGCACTTGTTGTCATCACCACACTCCTTATGAAAGTTAATCTGAGGACAAACACACCAGAGCTGTGAGCAGAGGTTTCTGTTCAGCTGGGATGGAAATGCGAACTGGTTTGTACCTCGGTTTTGTCGGTCAGGATCTGCTGTCCGCTCAGCACAGGGAAATCGTCCAGACTCTGGAGTGTTTGCTGTGCTGCTGCTTTCTGCTCATTTAGAGACACGTTCAGAGTAAACGCTATGGGCTGAAGTTTGTCCCTCACAGGAATCTGTAGAGGGGAGAAAAAACAGCTTCTTTCAATCCTGTTGCTTCTTTACATTCACTAAACTCACATTACTGGATCAGAATGGCATACTACTTAGCTGTATCTTATCCTATGCAAATTTTCTATATTCATTAAGCACATGCATTATATATGTTGGATAACTCATCTATTATTATTATAAATATCAAACAAACAGACTAACAAACTAACCGAAATTGCCAATATGTTATTTTTCAATAACATCTGCCTAACAGTACATTAAAATATAAATAAGCTAATCTAATCTAATCTAAAATAATCTAATCTGATCTGATCTGATCTAATATAATATAATATAATATAATATAATATAATATAATATAATATAATATAATATAATATAATATAATATAATATAATATAATATAATATAATATAATATAATATAATATAATATAATATAATATAATATAATATAATATAATATAATATAATATAATATAATATAATATAATATAATATAATATAATATAATATAATATAATATAATATAATATAATATATTTTTGGTAAGCTGCCAATTCTTTATTAACTGTAAAAAAACTAAAAATGAAATAGGTTTTGAAGTGTAGAAAACACACAGTAGGCAGTACTATTCCACACTGAACACTCTTACTCGGAGGTATCTTATCCTAATATGTGCACTATATATGTTGGGTATATAGCTTATCTTTTTTTTTATTTTTTATATAATATAATATAATTTATTTGTGTGACTGTATGTTCCCTACGTTATGGGGACCAAATGTCCCCACAAGAATAATAATACCAGTAAAAATGTTTTGTTCCCATGGGGAAACAAGTTTATAAATCAGACCGAATGTGATTTATATTTGAGTAAATGTAATTAATTACTGTACTTGAGTATCTTTTTTAGTTTTACTGAGTATCAAAGATATTAGCAACTTTTACTCTCTACTTCACTGCATTTGTAATGAGTGTTGCAATTACACATTACATTTAGCATGTAGCAGTTTATTTCTGCTACAAAAAAGTAGTGATATCGCCAACTACAGGGCACTGAAAGTACTATATCTTGTGTGTTTTGCCCGTACTCACCCAAACTTGTCAACAAGGCTACTTTACATGAATGCAAGCTCCTTAGCAAGTAGTTGTGAATCCCAGGTGTTTAATATATGAGATGAGGACTGTTAATTTTACTTAACATTATTTTATTTATGCTTTACACTGAAGATACCTTTTCTTTTTTGCAATTTTGAGGTGTTTAATTTTACTTTAGAAAATGAACATGATTGCTCTCTTCACAAATCAACTCTTTCTTGTTTTTGTTACATGTTCTCTGTGCCTTATCTTGGACTTTTATGTCACTTCCTGTCTCCCGTGGTGTTTGTAGTCAGTTTGTAGTCTGTTTGTTCGTTGGTTCCCCTTGATTACACTCTTAAAAATAAAGGTGCTTCATAAGGTTCTTTACAGTGATGCCATAGAAGAACCATTTTTGGTTCCACAAAGAACCATTCAGTCAAAGGTTCTTTAAAGATCCATCTTTTTCTTACATTTTTATAATCTGAGGAACCTTCTTTTGCCACAAAGAACCTTTTGTGAAACAGAAAGGTTCTTCAGATGTTAAAGGTTCTTTATGGAACCATTTAGACAAAAAGGTTCTTCTATGGCATCGTGAAGCACCTTTATTTTTAAGAGTGTACTCTCCCCATATGTGTCTTATTATCTTGTTAAGCTTGTTAGCCCCCTGTGCATATATAGCCCTAGTGTTTCTTTAGTTCCTTGTGAGTTGTTGAATGTTATGGTTGTTTGTTTGCCCGCCCGCCATCCTGTTCTTTGTTACCTGTGGTTAGTGGTGGGCAGAGCGAGGCTTCGTGAAACACTGAAACAGTCAAAGCAAATGTGCCAAGGCTTCGAAACAATTCGACACCTGTCTCTACGGTGACGCCTAGTGGTCATTTTCAAGTATTGCTCTGAAACAGTCTTGATAACGAATCAGTTAAAGGGATAGTTCACCCAAAAATGAAAATTTGATGTTTATCTGCTTACCCCAAGGGCATCCAAGATGTAGGTGACTTTGTTTCTTCAGTAGAACACAAATGAAGATTTTTAACTCGAACCGTTGCAGTCTGTCAGTCATATAATGGAAGTGAATGGGAATCACGGCTTTGAGAGTAAAAAAAACCATACACAAACAAAACCAAATTAAACCCTACGGCTCATGACGATACACTGATGTGTAAAGACACGAAAGGATCGGTCTGTGCAAGAAACTGAACAGTATTTATATCGTTTTTTTACCTCTGATGCACTGCAATGTCTGCACTGTCTGAACTGTCCTGAGCGCATCCTCGACAGCCGGCGTGTGACGCGTCTTCTTCTTTTTGCTTTACGGCAGATTGCAGACTTATAAGTGCATTACCACCACCTATCTCTCAAATGGACCATTGACACTCTATCTACAATCTCAATTAGGAGTGTCAATGGTCCATTTGAGAGATAGATGTGTATGTTTTTTTTTTACTCTCAAAGCCGTGATTCTCATTCACTTCCATTATAAGACTGACAGACTGCAACGGTTTGAGTTAAAAATCTTCGTTTGTGTTCTACTGAAGAAACAAAGTCACTTACATCTTGGATGCCCTGGGGGTAAGCAGATAAACATCACATTTTCAGTTTTGGGTGAACTATCCCTTTAAGCGAATTGAATTATATAGTTGGAGGAGTGGTTAGTGTGCTCGACTGGCATGCTGACACCTCAGGGTTGAATCCAGGGTGACGCATACATATAATCATAATAAACAATTAAAAGTTGTGTTTTTATTGTTCTGTTCTTGTAATGTGTTGTAACATCGGTCTGACCACTGAATGAACTCTTTGTGAATAAATATGTTATTTTGGTCATGAAAAATTAACATGAATAAAAGACATCAGGCCACAATATCTTGCATTTTTTTATACATATAAAGATTTTTATGTAAAAATATTATTTGTTCTGCTGTTGATGGACTCCGCCTACTTCTTTTTTACACAGAATTTCTTCAGCCTTTAAAAAATACTCTCACAAGGGACACTTGTCACTGGCATGCACAGATACTTTTGGGCTAGGACATACAAATTAGGAAAAATTACTGCTCTCTCCTTCCAGTACTTTAGGGGATCATCCCTTCTGGGCAAAAATGCATCTCTTGCGTGGGCCTCCATTATTATGTAATCTATCAATATGAATCTATCAACTATGAAATCTTATCTCTAACTTGTTGTGCTATCTGTCACTATCTAACTGAGCCTATATGAATGTGTCACTATATCTATCCTAACTTTCTGGCCATGTCTATAGCCTATCTATCAATATCTTAATATTAACTTTTAATCTAGCCTAATTCACCAAGTTACAGTATAAATGTCACTATATCGCAAAATCTCTCTCCTCTCACGAAAACCCACAAGGTGAAGATGCGTTAACTCCACTTTTATACTTTGTGGGAGTTAGATTGAGACAGATGTGCCAGAGATGTGCCCGTTTGTTCCCGATTATGTCAATCAAACGCAGATTCGGGTCTTGAAACACTCGGGAGACGCCCCGATGCTTTGATTCGCATTAGTCACGTGACATGGGTGTTTCGAATCACACTTTGGAGCAGCGTTTCGAAACATCTGCGCTTTGGGATCTCGACACCGTGTCGAAACATCAGTTTCGTGTCAGCCATCTCTACCTGTGGTTTTTGGTTGATTGTTTGTTCTAGTTTTTCCATTAAAGGGGTCATATGATGCCCATTTTCCACAAGCTGATATGATTCTTTAGGGTCTTAATGAAAAGTCTGTAACATAGTTTGGTTAAAATTTCTCAATGGTAGTGTAATTCACCTTTTTCTACCCTGTCAAAAACAGCTCTTTTCAGAGTAAGCCGTTTTTGTAGCATTTCCCTTTAAAGGGGTCATATGATGCTTTTTTAAAGATCATTATTTTGTGTATTTGGTGTAACAGAATATGTTGACATGCTTTAATGTAAAAAAAAACATTATTTTTCAAATACTGTACATTATTGTAGGTCTTCTATGCCCCGCCTCTCTCAAACGCTTCGTTTTCTACAAAGTCCCTCCTTCCGACAAGCGCAGTCTGTTAGCACATTATTAGGAAAGGCGATTTGCAAAGATTCATTACAAAACATTATACTCACTTCTTCTGTAGATGAGGCGGGATCACGAATGATTCGCGCGAACATAGACGCATTTAGGCAGATCGGGGGAGCATTCTCTTCAGAAACCAACGAAATCCACTTCGAGTTCAGCGGCTCAGATGTCGGGAGTAAATGACGACTGCTATGTTCATTATTACATCCAACAACAGAACACCTCAGTCGCTTAGGAGTCATTCTTGTCTACATCTGCTCCGGCGATGAAAAAAAATGGCAGACTGATGACTCAGTCTGAGCTCACTCAGGGCGGGTCTAAGGTAAGACACCAATCCAGTCTGTGCTGAAACGCTACTGTCAATCAAACTATCGTGGGAGGGGAGATTGCATCTGAGATCGCCTCGATTTGAGAAAGGGGTAAAGATTTTAGTAGATTAACAAAAAACCACTGGGTGGATTTTTATCATTTTAGGGTGGTTGTGTACACACACTGCCAACACACATTTCAGTTCAAACAACTTGTAAAAATGCATGTAGCATCCTATGACCCCTTTAAAGAAAATCCTAAAGAATGTTTAAAAGAAAGATACACAAATATCTGAAAGATAAATAAGTTTAAAAAGAGATGAAAACAAAGTCTGGATATTTAAAAGAAAATTAGCAGAAGTTCTAAAGTTTAGAACATTTCCAAAAGTAAGTTCCAACATTTCTAAAGTAGAAAGAAATAAAATATTGAAAAGACTAGACAGAAAGACTGAAAAAATAAAAAGTTCAAAATAACGTTTGAAGGAAAGGGGCCTGTCTGTGTGACGTCACACAGACAGGCATCTGAGATCGGCTCGATTTGAGAAAGAGGAAAACATTTAACGAGATAAAAAAAAAAAAACACCAGGTGGATTTTTATCATTTTAGGGTGGTTGTGTACACACACTGCCAACACACATTTCAGTTCAAACAACTTGTAAAAGTGCATGTCGCATCCTATGACCCCTTTAAATACCTGCACATAGATCCTTGCCTCTGTCTGTTTTCCCCAGCTTCTCCACAATGTTAGTTTTCGATCGGCAAGTCTCTCTGACTAGTGCTTGTTAAGATCAGATACTCTAAGACTTTTACTCAAGTTGTTTTGGAATTGGTGAATTGTAGTGGAGTAATTTTCACTTTAAGGTATCTGTACTTTTACTCAAGTCTGGTTATTAGGTTCTCTTTACACCTCTGCGTCTATGGAATGAACCCATAAAACAAGGAAACCTGTGTGTGTGTGTATTGTGGTGTGATCAGGTGAATTCTCACATTAACAGTAAGTTCCAGCTCTTGACATGCGGGAGCGGAGAAAGACAGCTGGCTTGTAAATGTGCTTTGCTTGTTGTTAAGAAAACGGACTCGAGCGCCACGGCGATTCTGGTCAGCGTCTACTGTGTACTTCACAGCTGAAGCAGAGAGAAACAAACACACGGTTAATGGCATAAAACACAGAGCAAACACTCCTGAAGCAGGCGTACACTTACTGATGGCCTTCCTGAAGGCTTTGTTTCCATTGCTGAGAGAGTAACTGAAACACACCGTCACCTTTATGCTAGAAAAATAACACATAATGAATTATTTTAAACAGTACTACAGGACAAGTATAAGAAGTTTATGACCAATTCATACTGATCAAATGCATGTGTCCTGAAACATTTGTTAGAATAGAAATAGGTGCGCTTTGCCCCCTTACCAGGAATTAACACACTGGCTTGGAATCACAATCTTTGGCTCTACTGTGAAGTTTTTGGAGAGGTGGATGACCGGACGAGCCCTGAAAAACACATCAAATGTCACATTTTGAGAACAAACTGATTTAGTGAAAAAGTTACTAGTTTAAATTTCAACAAATATAAACAATATAAAATACAATATGCACATTAATTAATTATTATATTTATTATTTATGTATTTGCAAATATAAATGATATAAAAAATAACATACAAAATGTATAAATAAACATACCATAACAAAAACAAAACAACAACAAAAATAATAATAATAATACATTATATTATTAATTATTATATTTATTATTTATTTTATTTAATAAATGATTTATTTGTTTACGAATATAAATAAATATAAATTATATATTAAATTATATATTAAAATAAATTAAATTAATAAATAGACAAACAACAAGAACAAAACAATAATACAATTTGTAAAGAAATCCTTACATATGCACAATTTATTGTGTATAATTATTATTATTATTATCAATTTATTTTAAAATTAATAAATAATGATACATTATATACATTTATTATTATTAAATTAATAAATTATATAAAAGAAAATATAACAAATAAATAAATAATAACTGTTATGTGAAGTGACGTGTGGCCAAGTATGGTGACCCATACTCAGAATTAGTGCCACTATAATAGTAATAGTAATAGTAATAGTAATAGTAATAATATGTTTATTTATTTATATATTTGGAATTATAAATAAATATAAATTAAATTAAATACAAAATGTATAAACAAAATTATTATTAATAATCATCATCATTATCTATTTTGTAGAGACACAAAAAATGTGCACAGAGGCACAATTTATATTTGTCTATAGAGCAAATTCCAACTACTGAAAAGGTTTTTAATACCATGAGAAACAAACATTCAGTCCAAGTGTGTCCAAACTCTTGATTGGAAGTGTATGTGTGTATATATAAAAATCTGTATTTGTATATTCATGTGGCTTTTGTGTTTTGGAAAGAATCGTTGAACATCTATAAATGGCAAACACTGCTGAAAGACTGAACCTCAAGAGAGCGATGCGGTCATCCATGGAGCCCACCAAAATGTCAGGATAATCATTTCCATCCATATCCATTCCTCCACTGAGAGAGTAGCCGAACGTCTGAAAGTCACTGGGACCTAATGATTTCCCCTCGATCGCCTAAGAGAAAGTCACAGTAAATCACTCTCTTCTCAAGGCTGCATTTATTGGATCAAAAATACAGTAAAAACAGCAATATTGTGAAATATGATTACAATTTAAAATAACAATTTTCTGCTTGAATATATTTTAAAATGTAATTTATGCCTGTGATGCAAAGCTGAATTTTCAGCATCATTTTCCTCCACTGAGAGAGTAGCCGAACGTCTGAAAGCCACTGGGACCTAATGATTTCCCCTCGATCGCCTAAGAGAAAGTCACAGTAAATCACTCTCTTCTTGTTCTCATGGTATTCAATACAAGTCCAGATATGGTTGATATGTATTGCCGTTTCGTTATCAATGACATGGAACGGAAAGTAATTGTAGAAACATTACCCAACAATCTTAAATAAATGATTCTAAAGGTGTTCCATACAAATACCAAAATGCTTTGCTTTACCTGGCTAGGTTCTTTATTTATTCCATTTTTACTTCCCATCCATATATAGACTTTCCCAGAGTCATGGAACGGAGCACCAACAGCAAAATCTGAACGAAGAAACCAAGAACAACATGATGAACCCTCCATGGCCTCCAGATGGCAGCATTATGACATGAATGACACGAAATTACACATTTCTGCATATATATATATATATATATATATATATA